CTGATGTAAACTTTCTCTCTCTCTCTCTCTCTCTCTCTCTCTCTCTCTCTCTCTCTCTCTCCCTGATGGTTCTGGCTATAGGCAATTGTTTCTCTAAAAATAGTTGTTCTAAAGATCAACTATATCACAGAGGTTAAAATTTCAGCTCTTGGATAAAAAAAATCAGGATTGATCTGATTGATGTATAAATTAACTAGAGAATATTTAATTAATATTAGCACATTGCTCCCCAAACTCCAATGTTATAACTCTTTCCTTTGGGAAAATGGCAGAAAATGAGAAAGCGCATGAAGAGGTCAGTAAATGTCAATCTCGAGTGTCTTTTTAAAAAAAAACAAACAAACAGGAAAGAGGGCAAGGATGGCAAGTACATGGTGACGACCTAATTTGTGATGCACACCAGAGGACGTGCCGTGGGAGGTTTCCAGAGGCCTCACATCTCAGATGGCACAAGAAGCACCCGTCTGTCTTCAGACCCTGAAATAATTACCCTCACACTTGTATCCAATTTACCATCCGGAACGAATCTTAAAAATAAATGACATCTGGCTCATCCTAAGAAAGACGGAACTTAGAAAGTCAAAATGGGCTACCTCTAGATTCATTCACTTTTAATTTTTAAAATTCATCCGTACACAGCAAAATTCAGGTTGCAGAGCAAATGGTAATTTCTGATCTCTGTGTGAGTACAGCCCTGCACCGTATAAAGAAGTTTCAGGCAACAGTGGATGGCATGTATGATGGCGGATGGCATGTATGACGGTGGATGGCATATATGACAGTGGCCCACAAGATTATGATGGAGCTAAGAAATCCCTATTGCCTAGTGCCATGGTCGGCAAACCGCGGCTCGCGAGCCACATGCGGCTCTTTGGCCCCTTCAGTGTGGCTCTTCCTCAAAATACCACGTGGGGGCGAGCATGTACAGTGCGATTGAAACTTTGTGGCCCATGCGCAGAAGTCGGTATTTTGTGGAAGAGCCACACTGAAGGGGCCAAAGAGCCGCATGTGGCTCGCGAGCTGCGGGTTGCCGAGCTGCAGTTTGCCGACCACTGGCCTAGTGACCTCAGCATTGTTGTAACTTCCTAGCGCAACCCACTGCTCAGGTGTTTTTGGCAAGGCCGGTGTAACAAACCTCCCGCACTGCCAGGTGTATAAAATTATAGCACGTACACTTATGTACAGTCCATTATCCTCGATAATGACAATAAATGCCTATGTTACGGGCTTTTACTCTACTAGAGGTTTTTACTTAAAAATGTATTTACTATACTATAGTTTTTGTTGCCTACCACCTCTCTTGATGACATCCCTTCTCTGTGCTTGATTTAGCCTCATGTTGTTTTGTACAGTAACATGCTGTCGAGGCCTGTAGCCTCGGAGCCGTAGGCTGTACCCTATAGCCCAGGTGTGCAGTAGGCTACCCATCTAGGCTTGTGTAAGTCCACCTACGATGTTCGCACAACGACGAACTCGCCAAGGGATGCCTTTCTGAGAACCACGCGCATCCTCAGCCGGTGGTAGGTGGTGCCTGGCTGCAGAGCCGAGAACGAGGCGGTGAGCTCAAAGGCCTCTGAGCAGTGGCTGCTGCTCGGGCTCAGAGGAAACCTTGAAGGACCTCCCTCACTCGGCGTGCTGCTCCCCTCTCAGCACAATTCTGTCCAACGTGGCTACCAGCTTCCAGCCCACAGTGGACTGGAAGCAAAAACTAAAACTAGACATACAGACGCTGAGGCAAGTATCCCAACAAACACAAGGGCAACAAACAAAAACACGTAAGTGAGGCCACAGAACACCACCCGGGTGGGAGGGCCGCTCCATAGAAAGGCAGAAGCCTCAGGAGGCGAGAGTGAGGGTTACATGTTGTTCAAATCCTTCTCTTGAAGATGGCAGAGAACTGCAGTAGATTTTAAGAAACTGAACGGAAATGACAGTCATTTTGGACGGGATTTTTGTTCAAATTTACAGCCACCCCCGAGCTGGCGGTCCAGAGTGACTCAGGCTCCAAGGCTGCAGAGGATGCCGAGCGACCCAGCCCCGTCCTGTTCACACTCACAGGGACCCCGCCCCTCGGGCCTCATTATCACCTCCCACCGCCAGGAGGGTCCTTTTCCCAACGCCTAGGGACATATTTTAAACTAGGATGATGGTTACGATCATACTCTTAAAACAAAACAACAAAACAAAAAACTCCCCGAAGAGCAATCCATGTTTCAGCACCATTGCCCTGTATTACTTCACAGGGCGACCGGGGAACGGCCGATGGCCCAGAGAAAAGGCTGCCGGTGAGCTGTGTTTGCCTTTGAGAAGACAAATAGGATCAGAGAGGCGGCAGAGAGTCGAGCAATTAGGACAAGAGCAGAACCACCAGCAGCGAAGGCCTCCCCGGGAATGGATTTTCAAGGCCTCGCCTGCAGTTTGCTCTGTGGAAGTGAGTCAAGAAAGTACCAGGACATATGTTGAATTTGTTAACTGCAATGTGCAGGGAAACAAGAGACAGACTAACTAGTTGGCCGAAGGGGAAAGAGCGTTACTTCTTCAGCACTGGAGGGGAACTAATATGTTAAGTGAAAAGGCCCACAGATTGCCTCAAGTCCATGACTGAGCTGTGGGGGGG